TATATATATACAACAAACAACACACACACACACACACACATTTATATATATATATATATACAACATATACATACACACACACACACATACACACACACATACACATACATACACACACACACACACACACATATATATAATATATATATAAAGTATATATATATATATATATATAACTATAAGCACTTCCTCATATGAAGATTGCAGAATGAAAATTCAGAGATTGCAGTGGCCATGTTCATTGTGACAGAAGTACATGTGTTCGCACGTCATCTCAATACCAGCACTTCCTTCGCCACAGACAGGAGAACAGTCGTATACGAAACACACGTACACATATGAATACAAACACACACACAATACATGTATACATACTTGTTTATGTATCTACACACACGTCGAATATAACTACAGAATACACCCCCTGTTGTAAACGCACCAAACACCCCCTTAGCTATAAATACACCAAACACCCTTTTAGTATAAACACACCAAACACCCACTCAGCTATAAACTTACTACACACCCCTCAGCTACAAACTCACTACACACACCCTTCAGTTACCAACTCACTACACACACCCTTCAGTTACAAATTCGATACACATACTCTTCAGTTATAAACTACACACACCCTTCAGTTACAAACTCGCCACACACACCCTTAAGTTACAAACTCACTACACACACCCTTAAGTTACAAACTCACTACACACGCCCTTCAGTTACAAACTCACTACACACACCCTTCAGTTACACACTCACTACACACACCCTTCAGTTACACACTCACTACACACACTCTTCAGTTACCAACTCACTACACACACACTTCAGTTACAAACTCACTACACACACCCTTCAGTTACAAACTCTCTACACACACTCTTCAGTTACAAACTCACTACACACACCCTTCAGTTCCCAACTCACTACACACACCCTTCATTTACAAACTCACTAGACACCCTCTTAGTTATAAACACACTAGATACACCCGTATTTATAAGCACACTATATACACCCGTATTTATAAGCACACTAAACACCCCTTTTGTACAAACACATTAAATACCCCCTCAGCTATAAACTCACTACACACCCCTTGGGTATATACCCACTACACACACCCGTGGTTCGAGGTCCAGAAGTACAGCGCGTGGGATGTAGTGGTCGTCATCCGCCTGATAGAAGAAGACGTCCTTCCTGTCCTCTCCATGCACAGCATCTGTCCGCAGCACACCATCCTCCTCTATCCCGTGCTCAGAGCAGAGCTTGTTCCAGAAGGCAGACCCCACTGCACACCCGACCCAGAAAGGATAAGGTACGACAGTGGTGTACGTGTAAGTGTAAGTGTAAGTAGAAGTGTAAGTGTAAGTGTAAGTAGAAGTGTAAGTGTAAGTGTAAGTGTAAGTGCAAGTGTAAGTGTGAGTGTAAGTAGACGTGTAAATATGAGCTACTGAGCTTGTTCCAAAGGGCAGACCCCACTGCACACCACACCCAGAAAGGATAAGGTACGGCAGAGGTGTAAGTGTAAGTGTAAGTGTACGTGTAAGTGTAAGTGTAAGTGTAGGTGTAAGGGTAAGTGTAAGTGTAATTGTAAGTGTAAGTGTATGTTTAAGTGTAAGTGTAAATGTAAGTGTAAGTGTAAGTGTAAGTGTAACTATGAGCTACGGAGCTTGTTCCAGAAGGGAGATCCCTCTGATTCATACTACCACACCCAGAAAGGACAAGGTAAGACAGAGGTGTAAGTGTAAGTGTAAGTGTAAGTAGAAGTGTAGGTATGGGCTGGGCAGTTGTCCGTGTGGGGACTAATTTCAAACCACACAGAGACGTGTGTATGGTATCAAAGTAATGGGAAGCACGGTGCTACTGTTTGAAGGTGATGGTACGGAGAGGTCTGACGAGTACTGTGAGTGCATGCGACTGTGTTCCTATTGGATGTAGGTGTGGCTGTCTGGGCCCTAGGGCTGTCACTGTCATGGTGAGAGCAGGGTGTAGTGGAAAGATAACAGGCAGCATGGATACATATACTAAACGACGCGTACGCTGGTGATCTGGTGATAAAGCTTGTAGGTACAACACAATAACAGACAGCGAGAGTACCGATTAGGGAACTTAAATAAATCATACAGTAACTGGCAGGTAAACAGATATGAGAAGTGATTTAAAGACTGGTAATAGATTCTTGATGCGGTGTGTGTAGAATTAACTAAAAATCCAAAACATGCATTTATAATGTCGATATACTAATATACTAATATACATATATATATATATATATCTAAACATACACACACATACACACACACACGTGTACGTGTGTGTGAACTCCATTAATAGAGAAGACTCTCGAGAGCCCAGGGTTAACTATTGGGTTCTGTGACCCTCGGGGTGCCCTTCATCAC